TGCCCTTCTTGATGTTTTGTGTATGCCTTCTGCAAAGCTCTTTTTTTTATGTTTGTTCTCATAAAGAAACTTTCTGCTGGCTCTCTACAAGCCAATCAAGCTAAAGCCCCCCTCCAAAAGAGGATTGACACCTTGGAGGCTTCTGTTAAAAATGCTCAGAAGGAGAGCAAAAAGAGCCGTCGAATGGCTAATTACTTCGGCAAGAGAGCCCGAGAGATGGAGAACAAGGCTGTTGAATTAGAGTTGCAGCTTGCTCAGGCTAACTCCAAGGCATAGTTGTTAAAGGCTCAAGGCGCACAAAAGCGCAAATGCCTCTTGGAGCCTGAGGCGCAAGGCGAGGCGCGCGCCCAACAGAAGGAAGGCGCACGTTGGAAAAAAAAAAAACAAAAAAACAAAACAAAACAAAACCCACCCAATAAAGTATTAAAGATGCAATAGTATATATAAAGATGCAAAAGTTAACTAAATGAATTACTTAACTTCAAATTTTATATATATATATATATATATATATATCCCATGTTTGGATGCTGCATTAATTGATAGAAAATTTGAGTTCATCTTGCAAAAAACACATGGATGTGCTATTATTATTTTTAAGACTTTTAAGTCAAATCAAATCTTGTGACTACTTGACAAATAATAATAATATTATTTTTTGTTCGGTTTGTTTTTTTAAAAAAGATAAATCTACCCATCCTATGACAACTTCTATGATCATTTTTTTTAATAATAATCAGTTCATTATTGTTGGAGTGAGTGAAGTTTAAATTCATTCTTCATTATGGTGGTGGTAATGTTTTATTGTAAACTAATTTAGAAGTAAAAAAGGGATCTTTTTTACGATGGTGGTAATGTTTTGTACAACTGATATAGTATTGTCTCTAATTGCAATAAGTCACCAAATTTTATATTCATCCTCTAAAACTATCACAAACCAGCAATCAGTCACAACATAAATTTGTCGAAATAACTTTTAACTTGTGTAAATAAAAAATAATAATAATTACTGGCAGTAACAGAGACAAGCATAAAAACAGAGACAAGCATAAAAACAGAATCAGATTGATCATCAAAGTTCAAACACATACAAGGCACTAATCTAGACAAGCGTAAAAATAAAAAAATAAAAATAAAAATAGAGGATAAAAAAATAGAGGATACGTTGGAATAAAAACAGAGGGCCAAATTGGCCAAGCCTAAAAATAAATAAATAAATAAATCTGCCAAAGTGCCAGACTCGAGAGAACCGAGAGAAGAAGAAGAAAAGAAGAAGAATAGAGAAAAAATAAAAATAAAAAAATCTGAGACTAAGAGATGATAGATCCGGGCCTCCTGCAGATCCGAGAAGAGAAGAAGCGAGAAGAAGTACGAGAGGGAAGGAGAACTTACCGGTAGAAGCAGATCCGAGAGTCCGAGACTGAGTTTCGCTACCTCTGTCTGTTACTCTCTTCTTTCCTTTTGCTTTTTTTTTTTTTTTTTTTTTTTTGTAACTTCTAGCTTTTGTAATAATAAAAAGTAATAAACAACTAAAAAACAACAATAAACAAATAATAAACCATACAAAACAAAAATAATAACAAAATAATTTTTAAAAAAAAATCACTTTCAAGTAGGCGCGCCTGTAGCCTTGCGCCTTTTATACAAAGGCGCTCGCCCTTTACAACCCAGTCGCTTTAAGGCATTCAAGGCGACAAGATGGCGCCTGGAGGTGCCTTGCGCCTCTGGCACCTTTAACAACTATGCTCCAAGCTTCAGATATACAAGGATGGTGGTTTGGAGATGTTTCAGCGTTTCTCTCAAATCGCCGACCTTCGTTGCGCCAAGGGTTTCGCCTTGGGTTCTCTCAAGGGTCCCTCCGAGTTAAGGAGAGGGAGTATGCCGATATTTAGTGAGCATGATATTGAGTAGGGCCTTCAGCTCATCATAGAGTATACTGAGCCTTTGGTTAGGGCTAATGAGGAGGAGCTTGTTGAGCTTATCAAGGTTATCTATACTCCTGAAGTGTTGCCTTTGATCCAATACCCTTTTACTTCCTTGGCTGTGCCAGTCTTGGTCGTTGACGCTATCCTTCCTTCTCAGGGTTCTATTGGGGTTGAGCTCGTTGATGCTTTCCCTAAGGATTTCAATAAGGATGGTGGGGCTCCTCATGTGGATGACCCCGTTGGGGAAAAGAACTGAAAGATTTCTTCTTCTTTTTATTTATTTTTATTATTATTATTTTTGTTTGAGGCACAGGGTATATCCTGCCTCTCTTTTGTAATGATCTAAACCTGTAATGATCTTCATTAATTTTGTTGTCTTATGTGTATGTTCATATACACGTTTGTTGGACTCCTTGGCCCCTTGCTACGTTCAGTCCTTGAGATCATTTAGCTTTGTTTGGACTTGTCCAAATTTTGAAAATGTGATATGGCGTTCAACTCTTCAGGCCTTTATCTTTAAGTGTGATCGGCGCTTGGGACCGTTCGACTTTGTTTCGACTTGTCCAAACTGAAAAGGTGATATGGCGCTCGGATCTTCAAGCCTTTGCCTTTGGATACGATCGGCGTTTGGGACCTTTCGGCTTTATTTGGACTTGTCCAAATTTTGAAAATGTAATATAACGTTCGGCTTTTCGGGCCTTCGCCTTTGGGTATGATCAGCGTTGGGGCCTTTCGGCTTTGTTTGGACTTATCCAAATTTCGAAAATGTTATATGGCGTTTGGCTCTTCGAGCCTTTTCCTTTGGGTACGATCAGCGCTTGGGGCCGTTCGGCTGCTCTTCAAGCCTTTGCCTTTGGGTGCAATTGGCTTTTGGGGTCATTCGGCTTTGTTTAGACTTGTCCAAATTTTGAAAATGTGCTATGGCATTCGGCTCTTCAGGCCTTTGCCTTTGGGTGCGATCAACACTTGAGGTTGTTCCGCTTTGCTTGGACTTGTCCAAATTTCGAAAATGTTATATGGCATTCAGCTCTTCGGGCCTTTGCCTTTAGGTGCGATCAGCGCTTAGGGCCATTCGGCTTTATTTAAACTTGTCCAAATTTCAAAAATGTGATATGGCGTTCGGCTCTTTGGGCCTTTGCCTTTGGGTGCGATCGGCGCTTAGAGCCATTCGACTTTGTTTGGACTTGCGCAAAATTTTTTTTTTTTTTTTGCCTAGGCCATACTTCTTCTATTTGGGCCAAAAAAGGTCGGATTGCAATGAGTGCCCCTTGATAATTAGGCTGCCAGCTAGTGACCTCTTATTAGGGGGCACTTCCTAGCACTAGTCAATGGTGGAGTATGATTATATTAACCACTTTTTGGCTCTATTTTTTTTCGATGTGGGACATGTTAAGAATGAAGGGGACTCCTTTATTGGGGCAACTTTTGTCAAAAATAGAAATGAAATTACAATTTATTGGAAATACCTTTTGAGGTGGATTGCGTTTCTGAGCGTGTCTACTTTGGTTCCATTCAAATGTTGGATTTTGTAGGCCCCTTTGCCAATTACGCTTGTAATCCTGAATGGTCTCTCCTAATTTGGTTTAAGTTTTCCCACATGTTTTTCTACCTTTCTTAGGATAAGGTCGCCGAGATTGAAACTCTGGAGCTTCACCTTTTTGTTGTAGCTACTCATCAGCTTATGTTGGTACGCCGTTAGCCGGATCAACGCTTTATCCCTCTTTTCTTCCAAGCCAAATTTTGTTCTAGTAGTTAGTTATTATGATCTGGGTTCCAAGCCAAGCTTTAAACGGTTGGTGCTACTATCTCGATGGGAATTACGGCCTCTGATCCATAGACTAAAGTAGAAATATATAAAACGAAGAGAAAAGAGAGAATTGCGTAAAGGCTTGAATGAGATGAATTACCCATTCACAGCTCTAGTATTTATAGGTAAAATGAGCACATGCTCATTTTACAAGAAAGGAAACTAAATTAAATCATTGCATATTCTATACCTAGACATATGCGTAAATAAAGTCAAATACATGATTTGTGGCTATCATATCTCACAGATAATATAGTAAATCACATCCCATGATTTGGGCCTATTATATCTCAGCTATTATGGTAAGTTATACCATAAATCGTGGTATCATAAATGCTAACACTCCCCCTCAAGTTGGTGTGTGGATATCTGAAACGCCCAACTTGGATAATGCATTCTCAAATACAGTCTAGGACAATGCATTCTCAAACACAGTCTTGTTTTTTTTATAATATCCCAAGAATATGCCTTCATCAGCCTTTGAATCAAACTTTCCCAAACTATCAGTGTGGTTCAATATATAACACTTGCTGCCGAACACCTTGAAGTAATGAACAGTTGTAGGTCTTCTATACCATAATTCATAAGGTGTTTTAGTTGAATTAGGTCTGAGAAGAACCCTATTTATGATGTGCACAACAGTATTCACAGCTGCAGCCCAAAAACCTTTTGCCAAACCTTTTTCAAGCAACATTGTTCTCCCTATTTCTTGAACTGTCCTGTTCTTTCTCTCCACGACTCCATTTTGTTGAGGTGTAGCTACAGCAGAGAATTCATTCTTAATCCCTTTGTTATCACAGTAATGTTCAAATTCTTTCATGGTGAACTCTAAACCAAAATCAGACCTGAGCTTCTTCACAGTACAACTTCTTTCATTTTTAATAAGATTGACAAACTTAATGAAGTGTGTAATAGCTTCAGAATTTTTTTTTCAAGAAATAAACCCACACCATTCTACTGAGATCATCAATGAGCAGCATAAAATACTTACTACCACCAACACTTGTGGTTCTGGTAGGGCCACAAAGATCCATATGTATCAGGTCAAGAGCCTTAGAGGTGTTGATTTCCTTGAAAGGAAATGACACTTTGGTTTTCTTTCCTTGTTGACATGCTTTACAAAGGTGATCATCCTTAAAACTGATGTTAGGCAATCCTTTAACAGCTTTCAGTTTTAGAATCTTGGACATATTTCTTGAATGAAGATGACCTAACCTCTTGTGCCACAACTTTGGTTCATCACAGGTTGTTAAATTACATTGAGTGAACTAACTTGCTTCAGTGACTGTGTACATATTTCCTGAAAATCTATTAGCTGAGAACAAAACTTGTTTTGATTCAAGATCAATCACATTACATCTTTCTTTATTGAAGTAGACTTCCTTCCCACTGTCACACAATTGACTAACGCTGAGGAGATTATGTTTGAGTCCTTCAACTAATAGAACTTCTTGAATTTCTGGTAATTCTTCAGACTTACTCACAGTAGCAATTCCAACAATCTTAGCTCTTTGATTATCTCCAAAGATAACATTTTCACCATCAAACTGCTTTAAAGAATTAAATTTGGAACCACTTGTCCTGAATATTAAGTAACCACTATCAACATACCATTTGTCCTGAATATTACAAGCTTTAAAGGTTGTATACATAAGAAGACTCACAGAGTTCAGCTTCTTAGGAATCCACATCATTTTCATCATCACCAATGATCCTTTGTCCTTGACCTTCTGAGCTGAAGCTAAGTCTGACTTCTTTACATACATTTTAGTTATCTTGAAATTCCTTATAGCCGAGGTAACAAAGTATCTCCTGTTGAAGCTTAGAGCACTGTAGGTGTTATTCAGTAACTCACCCTTGAACCTTGGAGGTTTTATGATAGGAAACTGTGCATACACTTCACCAGTTGTGGCTTTGACAAATACAGAATGAGTTTGATTGACCTTCGTGGCTGAATTACACACATAGCCAATTCCAGTCTTCCCAATTTGCTTTATGGATTGCTTCCGGATCTCAACTATCTTTAGGAATCTTTCTTCAAAAATGAGAGATAGTTCTTCTTTACACTTCTTGGTAGACCACTGAGTATTGACTTACGATTTCAATAAGCATTGAAAAATAAGAGAAACTAAACACAGCATTGAAAGTTTAAGTTTGAGATGTTTAGTGAGAATTTGTTTGGACTTTAACAATTCTGAATTGAGCCTTTTTATCTGGGACTTCTATTGATTACACTACACTGCAAGCCTTTCATATTCTTCAAGAATTTCGTCAATCTCAGTGTCACTATCTTTTTCAACTTGAACTGAAGTTTGTGGTGCTTCGAGAATTACCATAAAGAGACCTTCATCTTTTTGTGTCTCCTCGGATTTATATTCTTCAGGATCTGTATACCAATCTGAGATAAGTGTTTTTTTTACCAAACCTTCCTTTGTAGTTACCACCCTCATTCTTCTTCTGACTTTGCCCCTTTGAGTTTGGACAATTAGATACAATATGACGAGGTTTACCACAACCATAACAGGTTACATTTTGCAGCTGATTCTTCTTTTTAAACATGAACTTCCTAAATTTCTTAGCAAGGTAGGCTACCTCATCTTCTTCAAGATCATCTTCAGACTTTGTTTCAGTTTCTTTAATAACTTCATTTGCTTTAAGAGCAGTTTCTCTTCTATGAATAGCTGGAACACTAATTCGCATTTCATAGGCAGTGATAGAGACTTGAAGCTCGTCAATCTTCATTCCAGAAAGATCTTTATCTTCGAGAATTGTCACTTTAGAATTGAATCTAGAAATGAGTGACCTCAGTATCTTCTTACAAACATCAACATCCTTAATATCTTCACCAAGAGCTCTCATATTGTTAACAAGGTCATTGATCCTGAACATGTACTCAGCAACAGTTTCTCGTTCTTCCATCTTACAAACCTCATACTGAACTTTGAATAGCTGTATCTTGTTCTCCTTAACAACCTTATTTCCTTCATGAGCTATCTGAAGAGAATCCCACATTTCCTTGGCTGTTTTATAATTTTTAACTCTGGTAAACTCTTATTGCCTCAAGGCACAGAAGAGAACATGTTTGGCCTTGCCATCATTAGCCACAGTCAATTTATCTTCAGCAGAGGGGTTCTCAGGATAAAGAATCACAATATCATGTATGGTAGCATGCCAAACATCATAGGACTGAGACATTAAAAATGCTTTCATTCTAGTTTTCCAAGAATCATAGTTTGAACCTTCAAACCCTGGAGCTTTGTTGATAACTTCACCTTCATCCATTGTTGGGATCAACTACAGGTTTATTAGAATCTCACAATGCAGACCAAAGCTCTAATACCAATTGTTGAACCAAGAGGGGGGTGAATTGGTTAAAATTTTGCTTTCCTAATTTTCTCACACACTAAGCAAGCAATCAAAGAACAGATAACAGGAGATTTACAAGGAAACCCGTTTAATTAGGGAAAACCTTAGTTCTTGGCCTCGGCCAGTAAGCAATGCACTAGTTGTATGTATCTTGTTACACACTCAGCTGTCTCACTTTCTGCACACACCCATGCACCAAAGTAGACACTAGTTTTCACAACCAATACACACACAGTAGCACACCACAGTGCATCCACGCACTTCCCCTGTCCTAAGCAACCACACTTGGACCTAAAAAGCTCTTAATAGCTTAATCAACCATGGGGTGAGGGATCATGCCTCACTACCATTTACAATAAGTGTCAACACACTAAATATAATGAATTTTTGCAACAATTACAATAAGCTGGGCAACACAAAATTCAAAGTTACTGCCTCAGAACGGCAATCCGCTGAATCTATGGTTTGAGGGCTAAAATAGGAAATTCCTTTTGAGATCAATTCACTAGCACCTCATACAGTCTTATTTCACTGTTGTACTCATGTTCATAGCTTTGCATAATCAAACACAGCATGAGTATATCACAAAGTTCAGTCAAAGTTCTTGGTTCATAAAATAACAGCTTCAACACAAAAAGCTTCGGCACAAGATAGCTTTGGCACAGATAGCTTCAGCAAAGAATAGCCTAGTACAGAATAGCCTCAGCATAAATTAACTTCAGTACAAAACAGCTTCAACACAGAATACTCAAAATCAAAGCATGCCATATCTTTGTCACAAACTCAACTTTGTCAATCTTGATTCATCAAAATATACTAGCTAGCAGCATAGATCATCGTGAAATTACTAAGTATAATCAAATACCACTTGAATCCAAGATTTCTTCAAAAAAAAAAAAAAAAAAAAAAAAAAAAAAAAAGAAGCTTAACTATTGACCACACCGTCCAAGTTCATTTTCAACATATTCTTAACAGAAACACAGTCTGAAAAAGTGTAAAAAGATGAATTATACCTGTGTCAACCTTCAGAATCGATCACAGCAGCTTGAAACACCAAATCACTACTCCATACAGCCCTCGCATCAGCAACTTTGACATCAGCCTCATCTCAGTAATTAATACACACCTCAGAGTGGATTCAATGAGTTTTTCTTTCATAGATCATCATCAAATAGCAAAGAAAAACTTTTTTGACATAGTATACTCGAGGTTTCTCAGCAGTAGCTCAATGTGCAATGTAATTCAAGAGACTTGAACCCTAAGGAGCCTTATAGCAATATATTTATAGTGATACTAAATTACACAAGGCCTCACACACCATGGATATACACCTGTCACCACTAGCCAATGATTGAGATAGCATATTTCAGATATTTTCAGAGCAATGGACCAATGCAGACCTGCCACCTTAGCTAATTTGTCACTATTCTTCCAGCTACAGCAGGTTACTAGTTTGAGTACTGAATTCCATTTATGTCCAAACTTAGCCTCTAAGTATGAAATATTCTTGCATATACTAGCTCTTTAGGACCACTGAGACGTGTCACATTCTTCTCTAGGACCACTAAGACGTGTCACATTCTTGAGCATAGCTAGAAAAGACCGTACAGCCCTCAAAATAGATTTAACTTTACTCAGCACTGTGACAGAGCTGAAGCTGTATTCCTCATAATGCAGGTTCAATTTCAGTGCAACGCAGGTACCTGAGCATACGTATAATGTTGAACATTCACTATCCGAGGCTAAGCACCTATAGCTGCTGAACCTTCACTGTCCAAGGCTGAGCACCTGTAGCTGCTGAACCTTCACTGTCCAAGGCTGAAGCATTACAATACTTTTTGACACTAAAAGGCAAACATTCCTTAAGGTAACTTAGGACCAACAAAATTAACATCAAGAAGGCTCTAAACAATTTTCCCAAAGCCGGAAATAACTTATTTCAAGGAAAGAAGAAGAGTTCACAAAGCAACACCATTTCGCTCGACCGAAATGGGGCTTCGGTCGGCCGAAATGGCCTCTGAAGCTGCCCATGAACCGGGCAACCGAAATGCCTTTTTCAGTCGGCCGAAATGTAAAGTCCCGAGGTTGTGAAAAGGATCGGTCAACCGAAGTGCCGTTTCGGTCAGCCAAAATGGCTCTGAAGGCCCTGGACCTGCTACTAGTTTTCTCTAAGTTTTGAAAAAAATTGCAATAGGCCTATACAAGAGTTGAAAACTGATTAGAACTTGCTCAACAATCTGCAAAATGGCTTTCTACATTCCATTCAATGGAAATACAAATTCTACACACGCTTTATATGATCCCAATATGATTTACATGTACTGCATCAACATTGTCTCAAGTTTTACAACAATTGCCATCATAAAATTATAATTACAACCATAAGCTACAAAAATTTATACATATAATACAAGCTTGCAAAATGGGATCTAATTACAAAAGGTAGCCAAAATAGTCTTCTAATCCAAGCTAAGGCTGTGATGGGTTGTCATCCGCCACTTCCTTTTCATAACCTGAAAAATGTTAATATAAAAGGGCTGAGCATAAGCTCAGTAGGAGGTGCCTAAGGCATACCTCTTGAGACCCCGCGAATCCATACAATGAAAGGAAAATAGGATAGTAGAGATCATTCTATGCCGAGGAGAAAATAACCAGAATATCACATTTATATACCAAGTCATGAATGAATATGCCGTGTTTTGCTTGCAATGTCATGCAATGTCACTCCCTATTTTTTTTAAACCATTTTCATCATCACTTCCAAACCGTTAATGCAACCCGTCCCATGGCAGCACGAGAGAATAATTGGTTAACTGTCCTTGACCATAAGGCAAACTCCAAGGCGTCATTTGGGGCCCAGTTAACTCAACCACGCTACGGCAGTCTCCCTAGTTCTCTTTAGGTCACATTAACGCCACGGACCCATAGGCAATCTTCTGGGTGACTGAGTTTTCTCAAACTTTTCATCAAAACCTTTCCCAAAACATTTTCTTTTATTTCTTTCAAAAACAAATTCATTTTCTTCCCAATGCTCATGCATGAATACATCATGCCATTTCATGTTATTTCAATACTCTTTGTCATGCATTTAATTCAAGTCTAAATCACTTAGCATACTTGCAAGAATTTCCAAAGAATTTACAACATGCTTTCATTCAACAAGAATCTAGCATAACAAGCATATAAACACGAAATTAAATTCATACAAGCATGCTATATCATGTAATTTCAACTAAACACGTAGCCACATACTTTAATTACCACAATTTAATCATTTTAGAGGAAATTTAATATAAATTAGCAAGCTATACAACAAATCAAGAAGAGAAATTCACAAAGGAGCAAGAAGTTTTGTGAATTAGGAACCCCTACCTCAAAATGATGAAAACCCCCACATCAAGTCCTAGAATTCGAAAATCCTAGAGATGACCAAAGCTGAAATTGCTTATACTCACACGTAGATCTTGCCGAGCTCTCCGTTTTGCCGCAAACGGCACCCAAAAATTCCAAGTAGTTGGAGATTAATAAAGAGTTGAAGCTTGCATAGAAAAGAAAAAAGAAGAATGAGAGAGAGAGACTGGCAAGAGATGGAAAGAAAATGCCAAAAAGATGGTCTCTTGACCATTCAAAATTCAAAAAGGTGGTGGTGTGTCCCACCACTAAAAGATTTTTTTCTTTTTAACATTTATTCTACACCACACACACATATATATTTACACAAGCCATAATGAAACCATATAAAACACATCAAATAAAAATAAATGGTATACAAATGGACCCAGACAAAACCCCTGTACGCGACAATTCCGGTAGCGGGTCCCACACAGGACTGTCAGGTACGAAAAATGGAAAAATACTGAAATGACAACCAGTGCATTTCCAAGAGTTCTGAACTCAATGAAATGCCCCACCCAACTCTCGGACATACCCGGCACATCCCATGGTTTTCGGCACGCAAAACGTGAAAGAACGAAAATGCCCTCGTAAAATAAATAAATAAACCAAAAATTAAAAAATGGTAAAAATTGGAAACATTACAGTCACCCAAAGGTAAAATGGTCAATTTATATTCATAACTCATTTTGCCATCTATTGCCAAAATAACTCATTATATCATTGTCTAAAATATACATAATATAGTCCCAAAAAATAAGATTACAAATTTGAGACCCTTAAGGTACTCTTTAGAACATAATATCAAGTCGTCATCATTTATCAAGCAACAAGTCATAATCTTGTATTTAAAACATGAATTTCTCCATAAGACTGAGCAACATGCTTAATGAGAAGCAAAGTATAAAGTATTAGGAAGACCCTTACCTCAAAATGCACCTAAAAGGCATCCCGGCCAAAAAGTCAACTCCGGTCAACACCGGTCAACTCCGGTCAACACCGGCCAAATGAAAAACTATTCAGTGGAGTTGTGGCTGATGTGATACCCCTCGGATCCGAGACACGGGTTGATCAGGCCCAAGCCCAAACCCGAGGGATATCAAATAATTAATATGTAACCGAACACATAATACAAGATAAAATAAGAAATAAAAATAATAAGTTGAAAAAATGCTAATTGAAAATCCTTAAAATAATATAATTATTGAAAACTGTTAAATCCAAACTCCATAGGTTTACAACTTGGGAATCCA